CTGACCCTAGGCCACGCCCACCACTGCTGCTCGGCCCCACCCACCTGTGCTGTGCACTTCTGCTGCCTGGCCCCCTGGCGCCTATTCGTCCACCTTGGCTGCCCTATTCCATCCTTGTTCCCTGGCACCGCCCACCTCAGCAGCCCAGTTCCACACCCTGCCCTAGGCCCCACCCACCTCAGGCACCCTGCCCTACCCCTTGTCCCAAGGCCAGTCCACCTCGGCTGCCCAGCCCCACTCCCTGGCCCTGGGCCCCGCCCATCTCCACTGCCCCGCCCACCTATTGGGCCCCATCCCACCCCTTGGGCCCTGGACCACAGCCCTCTCAGGTACCCGGGACCCGCCCATCTCTGGAGCCCCGCCCAGGGCCCCGCCCACCTCGGCTGCCGGGCCGCGCGGGATGAGAGAGGAGGCTGAGCCGCTTCTCTAGCTGCAAGGCTTCCTGCGCGGCGCGCTCCTCCACGGTCACGGACCCCGTAGGGCTCGGGTCTGCGAAGGGCGAGGGTCACCACACGAACTTCCCAGCGTCTAACCCCAGGCTCCGCTGGCCCAGCCCAAGACCCAGACAAGGATGAGCCCCCACTGGACCCCAGATGCTGGACCCCAAACCAGTCACCCAGGCTGCTAGCACAGCTCCCACTGCCCCAAACCCGGGCCACCAGAGCCCAAGCCGGACGGACTCCCGTTTGTCCCCGCCACCCCTGGTCTCACAGGCTCTCCCTCTTCCTTCCTTGTGACCACTGCCCATAGCTCCCACGTGGGGTCCATGCAGCAAGCCTCGGGCCAGCCCCCCTCAGCCCGGAGGATGGAGCCTGCTCCCCCTCAGCCCCTCCTGCCATGCCCTACAGCTGGGCTGCGTCCTGAAGGCCAGGCTCCCCTCTCCAGGATACCCTGACCCTGGTCAGTGTCCAATGGTCCAGCAGGACTCAGACACAGACGTCATGGGCGAGCTTGTGGGGACCACTTGGCTGGTACCCCAGAACCTCCCCCACAGCGGTGCCTCTCAGCCAGCAGGGACACCCGCTGACCTACCCATGTCCTCACTAGGGGCCATTGGGGAAGAAGTGGAGCTGGCCCACACTGGGCTGCATAACCAGCACCCAGCAGCCCACAGGCCCTGTCTCCCCACTTGGAGAGAACCCATCCCCTCCCCTGGGCCCTCAGGCGGTCATTGAGGACAGGCATAGCCCTGTCCACTTCCAGGGCCTGGGACCCCTTTGGGAAGGGAGGAGGAGGCAGTTCTGAGACGGGAATGTCGCCTCTGCTCTTGGCCAGGGGAGAGAGAAGGCGAACAGAACCTGGACCAGCCTGTACCCCACATGTACTCTGTGCCCGGGGACACCCCAAACCCTCCCTCCATACATGCAGGCCCCTGGGCATCAGTCCTTGAGGCGGGGCACCGGCAGATCCTTCCCGCCCTTCCCTTCCAAGCCTTGAGGGGCAGCGCACCAACCCCCACCAGCTCCGCTTCCCTGGTGGAACCCAGGTCCTGAGACCGCTGGGAGCCTCCTACCCCAGCCCCGCACCCCGGCAACACCGGCTTGTAGGTGTGCTTGGCCCCGCCCCCAGTGCCCCGCCCCTCACCTGGAAGCACGGGCCGCAGCCCGAAGGGGCCCTTGGTGGGGGAGACGCCGCGCACGATGCAGTCAAACAGGAAGCTGATTCGCTCTCCCTCCGCCGAGGACAGGAAGAAGACTCCAGCCCCTGCCCGGAGAGGGGGCTATCAGGGTGGGGAGAGGGGAATGGTCCAGGGGGGAGGGGGGAGGGAACAAGGGGCTTGGAGGTGGGGGGAGGGCATAGCAAGTCTTTGGTGGGAGGGTGTGGGGAGGCATAGGGGACCTGGGAGTGTGGTGGTGGTGCAGGGTCCAGGGGGATGGCCTAGGGGTGGGGGGCGTGGGGCAGGCACGGGACCACGAAGGATGCTGTGGGGAGGGACCCTGAGTGGGCTCTTCTGGGAACCTCGGCCTAGCCTGCAAACTTCTGTGTCCTAGTCTCACCCGCTGCCCCCCAGCTCCGAGACTTGACATGCTGTCCCTGAGTGTCAACCCCTGTCCACACGTAGGCCTTGGGAGACCCCGGAGGCTTCCAAACCCTTCCTCTGGCACATGAACCCAGCACCATTAGGGCCTACCTCCCACCCCTCTGCCCAACCCTTGTTGGGCCTAGCAGAACTGCCCCCGGCTCCCCAAACTACACCCTACTGGGTGCTTCCCCATCCTCAGGATGGTTCCTGAGCCCGCGCCCATGGTTACGACCTCCCCAGGCTGTCTGCAAATAGATGCTGTCCTCCCCGGCCCGTGCGGGCCCCTGTGGCCCTGTGGCCCCTGCACTGCCCTCCCCCGGGACCTCTCCCCTCCACCTGACTCAGACAGAGCCACCCGCCCCAAAAGGACGTACCCTGGGGGGCCCTGAGGGAGCCTGGGAGGACTGGTGCCCAGCCGCGCCCACAGGCGCCCAGCAAGGCACAAGGAGAATGAGTCATCGGGGGCCACGTGCCCAGGCGCCCAGCCGCCGGCCTCCCGCTGGGCTGTGGCCCTTGCCAGGGGTGAATGAAGCCTCAGCGGCCAGCAGTGTGAATGGGCCCCGCCTGCTGACCCTGGACTCTCAGGGCGGGCAGATGCCAGACTGGCATCAGAGCCCAGGAATCCCGTCTGTCCTCAGGCTGCTGCCCGGTGCCCACAGAGAAGCAAGCTGGGGGGAGGTCTGGGTTGGCCCGGCTGCCGGCAGGAGGGGCATGGGGTGGGGACACATCGGGGACTCGGGCCAGCCTAGCCTGGACACGTGGGGAAGACAAGAAGGCTGGCCCATGACATAACACTCAGGGCCCTGCTTCCCACACCCAGCTGATCCCTGCAGGACGGACAGAGGCTCCCTGGGGCTCCCCTGCAGTCCATCGTTACAGAAACACACTGCCTCATCTTTCTCCCACAGGATACCCGGTGGATGCGAACTGCTGACCTTGCTCATCGAGCAGCCGGGCTCCTGCCTCACAACTGTGCCACCAGCCTCACCCCACCCCTACCCTACTTCAGGGACATGGATAGTGAAGAGTCCAGAGGGGGCCTCAGGCCAGCCCTGGCCAGCTTCTGGCTGGATCGCTAAGCAGAATCCAGGGGTAAGGTGCCCGCTGCCTACCCACAGTGTCGAAACCTCCAAAGGCCCGGGCTCCTGAGCCCCAGTGGGTGCATGAGAACTCAAGCCCTCCAACCTGGCCATCTGCTGGCAGCCCCTCGGCCTTGTCCCTCGGTCCCTCACTGTCCCAGTCCACTGCCCCACCCTGTGAAATACTCAGCCAGCCGGGGCCTCTAATCCTGAGCTTACGGCAGCTGGCAGCACCCGCAGGACAATCAGTCCCTCGACTATAAAAAAACCCATTACCACAGGGGCAGAGCCGGGCACATTCCTGCCCAACGTGTCTGCGGCCGGCCTGGCCTTGGGGCTCTGACCGCACCCGACGCTGCCCCTGGCCACCGCCCCTGTTGTGCATGGGGCTACGTTGGGGCTGGACCCTGGTACCACCTTTGGTCCCCCTGTGTGACAACTGTCTTCCTGTCATCTCCAGGGACCCTCAGACACCCAGACCCTTCTAAGTGCCCTTGAGCCTCAGCACCTGCATGCTGGGGTAAACTGAGGCCAACGGACAAACCCTCGCTGTCCCCACCATTGTGCCTGTGCCCGAGCCCACTGTGGCAGCCCCTGTGTCACTCTTGGGAGGAGGACACAGGACCAGGCAGTGTTCCGGCCTGCTGGGCACAAGGTTGCTATGGTTTGGCGCTGACTGGACTCGGTCCCTCACAACCACCGGGACAAGCCCCAGACGTTTCCCAGGGGGCCTTGACCCGCGGGAGGCTGGCACTCAGGGAGTCACACCAGACTCACCATGACCCCGTGGGCCCAGCCTCCCTGCACTGAGAGGTCTGGTCAGCTTGTCAGAGCAGCCGAGTCCAGCACAAAGGCCCCTGTTGTGAAGAAGGGGCTGCAAGCAGCTGTCAGAGCGCCCGTTGGAGGAGGGAGAGGAGATCAGGGGAGGGGGGCCGTAGCCATGATTCCAGGGCTCGGTGTGGCCCCGGGGCCGGTCCCTGGGTCACCAGGACATTTTAGGCAGCGGGTGGATCCACAAAGAGGCACACGCATGCTGGGGTCTCCTGAGGGACGGATGCTCCTTAGAGATTCATCTCCTGCACTTTGGACATGTCATCAGGAGGGGCCAGCCCCTGGAGAAGTGCAGTACGGGGTCACCAGAAGAGAGGGACCTTAGGGAGATGGACTGACCCCGCAGCTGCCACCATGGCCTCAAAGCACAGCAGTGGTGCGGATGGTGCAGGACCGACCGGGCAGCCTCTCCTGCTGTCCCAACTAGAGGACAGCTGACAAGTGCATGGAAAGATGAGGTCCCCTCGTGAGGTCCTGGGAGAGAGGCCTCCAAGGAGGAGTCCAGGGTCCATCACACTGTGTCCGGCTCAGAGGGCGTGCCTACGTTCCACCCCACCCCTGAGTCTGCACCCAAGTTCCTCACAGCAACCGAGAGACTGTGTGAGCCTCAGTCCGACAGCAACATCAGGATCAGAGAACAGGGGGTCCTTCCTCCAGGGGCCCCCAAGTTCATGGGCTGACGCTGCATGGGCCCCTGGAAATCTAAGCTGGGCTCACCTGGGCGGCCACCGAGCACAAGGCAGACCCCGAAGCTCGGGACACCCGCAGCTCTGCACTTGCCACGTCTGCAGAGTGGAGGGGCCCAGGTGCCTGGGGTCACCAAAGAAAGGCCTGGGGTCTGTTTCCACAGAGATGTCAGTGCGGGATACCAGTGGAACTGCCCCCACTTGGTGACTCACGGGGCCTCCAGCCACAAGCCAACAAGGAACCCGTGTGTTTGTATCTCGTGTCCCCAAGGCCCACACGGTGGTCACACGCATGTCAGCAGTGCCCAGCACCAGCCTCAGGACACAGCCCCCAGGCCCACCCTTGCCCTTCCCAGAGTGGGGACCAGCTGTCATCTCCAGTACAGAGCCCAGGGCAGGGCCAGCCCTGGCCCTCTTCCCTAGGCCCCCCGCCCCAGCCAGCCTGTGACGGGAGCACTCCGATCCTCCACACTGCACCCCGGCTGTGGTCTCAGACGCTGCTGACAGGTGAGGACAGGCAGGTAAGCAGATGCCTGTGCAACCCGGCCACCCTCCCAAAGCCTGCACTCATGCCCAGGGCTGGGCGGAAACCCGGGATGCCCCACCACTCCACCATCGCCGACTGGGGGCCCCACACTGACCATATGGTCTCTGTGCTGACCATGCGGTACCCACACTGACCACAAGATCCCTCGTGCTGACCACCTGCTACCCATGCTGACCCTGTGTGCCTGTGCTGACCATGGCGCCCATACTGACCACATGGTCCCCACCGACTACCAGGCCCCTGTGTTGAAAATGTGGCCCCTACCTGACCATGTAGTCTCCACACTGATCATGATGTCCCTGTGCTGACCATGATCCCACACTGGCCACAAGGTCCCTGTGTTTACTGTTGTCTCCGCCAGATCACATAATCCCTGTGCTGACCGTGGGTGGGCCCCAGCCGGACCAACCACACTCAGAGAACAGGGTCACAGTCCACTGCAAACCATCCAGCGGTGGCTATAGCCACCCCCACTGCCCCGGTGGCTCCTGGATGTCCTTGGGGAGGAGCCCCTGCTATGAGAAGTTCATGCACAGGGAGCTGGACCCCCCTGGGGTTTCCACACAGTCATCTGTACCCACTGTAGGGACTGTCTCAAAGCCCCACTACTGCAGGCCAGACCTCAGGCTGTGCACAGGACCGGGCTACCCCTCCCCTCCCCTCGGGGCCAGCTGTCCTATCTGTGCAGTAGACACTTCCTGCTAGACACACCCCGCCCTGGCACGTGGGTATGGGGCCAGGAGGCTCAGCATCGAGGTTTTCTGGCAGCCCCACCCACCCACCAAGGTGAAGGGGTGGACGGGGGTGCCAATACTCACAGTACCCACATCTGGTCCCTCCCTCGAAGATGAAGCCGTTGGGCACAGCCCCATAACGCCGCAGGTCTGACAGCTTCCACTGCCCCGTGACAACTGGGGGCACATCCCGGGCCACCACCAGGATGTCGTTGCACAGGTGCAGAGTGGCGGGGCCACTGGGGAGCTGTGTACCAGGGGCCACCGTGACGTGGAACCTGTGCACTGTAGGGGACAGCGGGGAGGAGTGAGGGCGCATCAGACCCCCAGAGGAGACCTGAGCCCCTGCCCTGGCCCCACCTGCAGCTCACAGCACCACCCTGCCCTGGTGACACCCCCACGTCCCCAGCCCTGCAGAGACCCCAGACCCAGACCTCTGGGACTTGCCAGTCTCTCCTTCCATGCCCCCAGGGGTGGGATCTCAGGTCCCTGTATAGGCAGGAGGCAGGGGCAGATCTCCAGAGTTAGGGCCTCGCTGCCAGCCCTCACCCCCCAGCCTGGAGCCCGAGGTTGGGGCCCAGCTCCCAAGGCAGCTGTCCATCCTACTAGGAGTGGACACCTGGCTTGGGAAGGTGGCCCGTTGATGGCCCCTAGCGGACACTTCCTGACCAATGGAGTGAGGCCCAGGTGGGCACCTCAGATTGCCACCCCCCCTCAGAGTGAGAAAGTGGGGTCCGTGGACTCTGAGGCCCTCAGTGTCTGGGGCCATATGGGCACAGCTTGGCCACTCACCCTCGCCGAGCGCGTAGCGGATGCGGGCATCCCAGGCACACATGGCCTCTCGGCTCTCGAAGCCCAGCATGACGGCCTGGGCGCGGCAGACGATGGCCAGAGTGTGGGTCAGGCCCTCGTAGGGCAGGCCAGGGTCCAGGCCGCAGATGTCCTCCAGGGTCAGGCTGCAACGCTCCCTCAGGCCCTTGCTGCGCTCTGACTTGTCTCTGTACACCAGCATCAGCAGGCAGTCTGCAGGGACACAGGAGTCAGGGCCGCCACCCCAGACTCGGAGCTGCCCCGAGTCCAGCATGCAGTCCTGCAGCCTTCCCCAGAGGGCCCTCGGGGTTTCCCTGCAGTGCCTGAGGCTGGGTCCTGCCCCCGCCATGCCACAGAGCCCACCTGGATTACACTCAGGGCCCCAGCAGCTTGCCACCACCCAGAGTTTACTGCACCACCACCCCCCACACCAGTCCTAGGCCTATCCTGGGCCCCTTCCTGTTGCACCCAGACCCCTCGCCTCCCACTTCTCACTTTGAAAAAAAATTGTTTGATTGACAATGTGGTTCACATACTATACACTAACATGGTTCAGTCAGATTAAAAAGAGCTACACAATCATCTCTGCAGTCAGCCCCAGAATAGTCTCTCCCTCTTCTATTCATTAAGGAGCCCTGGTTACGTGTGGGCTGTGATACCGTGGCCGGCAGTTCAAAACCACCAGCAGCTCGGAGGGACACTGGGACTTTCTACTCCCGTCATCAGTGACAGGGACTCACAGTGGCATTGCTGCCCTGTCCTATGGGGTCACTGTATTCGTCATCAGCTGCTCATTCCTTACCCCGACCCCAAAAGTCCACTTCCAGTTACTGTGTCTATAGCTTTACCCATCCCGGTCTTCACTGGAAAACACCCCCCACCCCACCCCAGACCAACGATGGCAACAAAATTGGGCAGAGGGAAGACCCCAGTCGAGAGCAAGCAGGGGGTATTTGGGTTCTGGGTTTGTAGTGGGAGCCAGAGACCCACAAGCAGCGATCCCCACCAGACACCCAACAGAGCCCCAGCCCGGTTCAGCCAGCCCAGCAAGTCAGGCCATGCCCCCCCCACCCCCCCCACCCCCCGCTTCTTAAAGCTGCCTCGTGCCCTGCCCCTGTTGCTAATTCCAGGAGATGGGCCACCGGGCTGCCCCTGTCTGTCTGAGTCTCTAGGTGGCCAGGGCACATGATAACATCTGTGGCGGCTGGCCCCCTTCCCACCGGGCGGCCCCGGCCCAGGGGACCAGCTGGGCCCATCCCCTCACCACTTTTGTTCCCGTGGGGTTTCAGCTTCTGTGTCCAGCTGCGTGTCCCCACTCTGGCCCCTAGTGCACAGACCCTGCTTGGCCCAGAGCGGGGCCCTTGCTCCACAGTCGACCCTCTCTGGATGCTGCTTCTCAGAATGGGGAACCTGGGGTCCCCAATCTCTCCTGAACTACAAACAGCCCTCTCTAGTCACCCACGCCACCCCTTGCTGGTCATTGTCACACGACGGTGGCTTCAGCGATGCCGGGAGCAATGCCATCTGTATTTCCAACAGCAGCAGCGTCACCCGGGGTGGACAGACCTTCCAGAGGGAGGGCAGGCCAGGAAGAAGGAAGGGGCTGTCCACTTTGGCGGGAGGAGCCCCTGAAACCCTCTCGAAAGGCAGCGGCACCGTGTCGGGTACCGTGCACCTCACAAACACCCGCACAGCACTGTCAGACACGGCGGCAGAAGAGGAGGCCCTGGGGTCGGGAGGCTCAAATTAAGGTTGAGGAAGAGCAGCCTCCTCAAAGCAGAGTCAGCGTGAGGATGCAGGTAGGGCCAAGCCTTCAAGGCCTTCAGCTGCCAATGGAGCCCGACTCAAGGTGAGAAGAAACAGCAGCGGGCACCGACATGCCCTCAGAAGGTGGCACGCAGGAAGTTGGAAGGTAGGGAGATTGGGGGTCCTGAAAATGAACTGGGTGGCATGCACGGAGATGGGTATGCTGGGCAGTAGGGCGCTGGAATGGCCTGATGTTGGCCACGTCGAGTCAGGCGGCCCTATGGTTTTCTACTCGGAGAGTGACCAATGCCTCACATCCATCATCAGAAGGAGCACTTTGGGATCTCCCTAGAAGCCCAATGCCTTCTCTGTGATAGGACAGCATCTCTCTGTCTGCAAGAAAGTACGGTCCATGGGACTGTTGTTCAGATTCACACACCAACACCAACACCCCCTCCGGCTCGTGATGAAGCCACAGGAGGATGGTAGCCACATCTTCGGTCCGGAATTATTCAAACATGCCATCAAGGGCGTTGGCACCCCCCGGTGACTCAGATGCGAAAGTTGGGAAGCCAGAGGACAGAACGGCAGTTGGCAAACACGGCCCCAGCGGTAGAGACTGAGCCAGAGAGCGCACGGTGGGATTTCACGAGACCAGTAACTTTGTCAACAGAAACACGTATTTTCAAAAATATAAACAGCGTCCATGCACGGGGAGGGAGCTCAGCTTACGGAATCGACTTGACTGCACCTGTGGGAGCGTGGATGGGGAAGCTCTGTGGTCAAAAGGGGCCAGAGGTGGACTGTGGGACAGACCACCACATGCAAATCCACTTGGAGTGGAAAATTGAAACCAGTCCACAAGAGTCAACATACGGCATCGTGTCCCACCTGAATTTAGAAGACTTCTCAAGAGTGCATTTGGCATGCTGAGCAATAATGACCCAAGACTAGAAACGTTGGCGGAGGGCATCAGGAACGCCGTACCTGAAGAAAGCAAAAGGTCATTAAAAAAAGATGGACAGAAAGACGAGATCAGAGTGGATGTCAGAAGAGACTCTGAGACTTGCTCTTAAGCACAGAGAAAGCAAATGAAAGAAATGAAGTGGATCAAACAAAATTTCAAAAGGCAGCTCAAGAAGTATCACAATGAAAAGTTCAAAGACTAGTAGTTAGAAGGCCCAAAAGGGTGGGGGGCATCTCAAGCTGAAAGAACTGTGGGGGGGACAAACCTTGAGTTCACAGGAAGCATCAAGTGGAGAGGGAAGAAACACACTCGCCGCCGTAGCAAAAGGGACGATATGACATTCAACCATGCCAAGAGGTAGCACACAATCCAGAAGTGATGGTGCTGAAGGAAGAAGTCCAACCCGCATGGACAGCCTTAGCAAAGAACCAGGCTCCAGGCATTGATGTTCCCCAAATCGACGCAGCACTGCAGGCAGCCACTGGTCCACACCAAGACATTTGGAAGCTCACCGGCCAACCGACTGGAAGAAGTGCACGTTTGCATCCGTTCCAAAGAAAACTGACCCAACACAAATGCGGAAATTACGGGGCACGTGCAAGTAATGTGTTGCTGAAGCTCACTCACAGACGTTACAGCAGTACGTTGACGGGGAGCCGCCAGCGCACAGGGCGTGTGCACAAGAGAACGCGGCAGGAGGGATACATCCTTGCAGACACCCCACTGTTCGCAGCCTCCTTATGCCCCTCAGGCCCGACAGGTCACCAGCCCTGCCTTAAACCTCTGGGCTGATGCAACTGGCTTGGGTCCTGGGGGGCCGGCCCCAGCCCCTTTCTCCAAAGGAGCGTTGACAGTCCACAAGGACCGAACCCGTCACACGGCAGATCTTTCAGAACATGACAAGGCAGCTCTTCATAACAACCAGCTACAACAACTGACAGGGCAGCATCTGCCTCCAAATGGAGCTCAGACGGTGGGGGTGGTGCAGGACAGAGGGAAATGGGAAGCCAGGACAGCAGTGGGAGGAGAGCTGGGTCAATGTAGAGACTGCAGCCTTGTTTTGAAGCCAGATGTGTCTAAATGGTTGAATGAAAACCAGTTTCCTCTGTGCACTTTCAGTAACGATGGGTATGGCAGGGCAGGGAGCAGGGCCCTGCATGGCGGAAGCGGTCCTAGTCCCAGGCTGTCTCTCACCCAACCCAGCCCTCCACCTGCCGGAGCCTTGAAGTGTCGTCAGATGAGAAGGGCCACTAAGTGCAGCCCAAGGGGGCAGCTAGTGTGGGAGCCATGCAAACGATGGGCAGCTGTCCACTGCATCTCGCTCCACACCTCTCTGGTTTTAAAGCTTGCCCATCCTGGGCCTGTGGGTGGGCACCCGGAGTGGACAGTTGCAGCCCCGAGCCAGGACCACTTGAGTTTGTGAGGGAAGGCTGGGACCTGTCCCCTGGGCCTGGGCAGGTGGAAGCTGGGGTGGAGGAACTGGGGTCCTTAACTGGGAGCAAAACTACCACATGGAAAATAGGCAGTGGGGCGGTCAGGACACACAGGCATGTACAGACACACACAAACATATGCACATGCATTCACACACAGATGCACAGACGTTCACACACGCACATTCACACACACATATTCACACATGTACATGCACACACATACATCCAAACATATGTGTGCCTGTGTATACACACATGTGCATATGCACACTTGCGCACACACTGCACCCATGCACACATAATGTATGCACACACACTCACACAGTGAATGCACACGTGTGTATACATGCTTCACATGCACATATGTCCCTCACTCTTCCACGGCCCACCCCTGTGTGAAAGCTGCCCAAGCATACAGCACCAGGCCCAGAGTGCACACTGTCCAGCCGACTGACCGTGCCCGGCAGCCTGACCCCCAGAGCCCGCTTCTCATCTCAGCACCCCAGGGTCCTGCATATGCCAGTACCGACAGCAATGGGGAGAACAGTCTCCCTGGGCCAGCTGTCCTGCATACCCAGCCTGCCCTCTGTGACTTCAGTCAGTGGGAGGGTACGTGATGGGCATGGGGCTCAAAGCAAAAAGGCCCCTCCCACAGCCTTCAGCCCACTTCTCCTGCCCCAGCCCATTCCCACATGCTTACTGGCGGGAGGGGGGAAGGACCCTCTGGAAAACTGTCCCTTTACAGCCTGGCACACCACAGAGAAGAGCTGAGCAGGGTATCTGAACAAATGTGGCAGGCGGTCTGCTGGGGGGTCACAAGCAGTTTCAGCCTTGACTTCTAACTTCAAGCCCCCCCTCCCCGAGCAGAGAGCTCTGCAGGTGGGCTCTGAATGGTTGAAAGCATGGGACAGTTCTGCACTGACACACCTGGAGTTTGACAGAACCAACTTAATGGTCAGCATGGCAGGAAGGGGCTGGGTGGGGTGACCGGGCGTGGGGGATGGAGGGCCTCCCCCAAGGGTGAACTGAGGAGAACAGCCAGGTGCACAGACTGCCCGGACCAGCATCTTCTTAGAGGGAACAGCTGTGCAGAGGTGCAGAAGGCCAGGCCAGTGTGAGGGGTCAGCCGTCCAGGTGCAGGTCAGGGGAGCCTGGGGAATCCTAGGTGGGAAAGAGCCCCAGGAGGGCTGGAAGGAAAGGGACAGGCTGGCCTGGGACTCAGAGCTGACCCGGCCGCTGAGTGGACAAGGGTCATGAGTGAGGGTGGGAGGTCTGAGGCAGCAGTGGGCTCTGCAGTAACCATGGCAACAGAAGACTGAAACCCAGCAGCTGACCCGCTGGGGCACTGAGCAGGCTCTGGGGTGGGGGTGGGGGCCTCTGGGGACCGCGGGAGGAAATGGGGGGTCCGGGGACTTCTCAGATCCCCACCTCTCAGACGCGCCGGGGGGAGGACTGGAGTCTGTCCCACAGGCCGGCAGCCATCTGGGGCACCTCAGGCAGGTGGCTGGACCCCGGCACCCAACAAGTGAAAATTATCGGGGTCACAGTCCAGGGGTGACAGTGAGCCAGGGCCCAGGCTGGGCCTCGAAGAACCGGGAGCCTGAGGGCAGCGTGGGGGGCGGAGCCGGCGAGCTGGGACGGACGGGGGCGGGGCGGAGCGGAGCGGAGGAGGAACGGACGCCGCGCTGCATGCCGCTGGGGGCGTGTAACCAAGGCTGGCGACAGCGACTCAGCTTAGCACCACAGGAGGCCACGGGTGACCTTGAGGCCAGTAGCCCTGGCAACAGGGCGAGCGGACAGGCTGAGGAGGCAGGATGGTGTAGGAGGGGGCCCTTTGTGCACATTGGAACAGGTCCCAGGCGTGGTGCCTGTGCGGGTGACCTGGTTCAGGTGGAGGGGTGAGCTGTGCAGGTGGGGGGGGAGGGGCACCACGAAGTGCACCCTGTTCAGACGGGAGCACCCCTGAGAGATGAGGGCACCCTTAAAGGGATGGAAGTGCCTCCTCTAGAGATGGGAGCCCCCTGAGAGATGGGAGCACTCCTGAGAGATGGAAGCCCCCCTGAGATATGAGAGCCCCCTCTGAGAGATGGGAGCCCTCCTGAGAGATGGGAGTCCCCTGAGAGATGGGAGCACTCCCTGCAGAGATGGGAGGAGCATCACCTGCCAGGTTGTTCCACCTGCCTGATGCAGCTCAAACAAGGCCCAGCTACCACTCAGGATGCTGAGCCGGAACGGCTGTGACGGGTCAGGGGCCAGGGGCCAGTCACCTGGCCCCAGCCCTATCCCTGAGGGGCTTGAGGCAGGAGCTGCCGAGAGGCTGGAGCAGGCTGAGCTGGGGATCCGGTCACATGGCTTGAGCAGGACAGTGGGGCTGAGAACCCAGAGCCCTCTGAGTCCCTGAACCCGGGGACCTGGACCATCCCTGGGAGACCTGAATGGCCTGTCCTAGGGGTACAGGGGTTGAGCTGGGGCTTCCGGACCAGCCTGGGGAGACGCCCGCCCAGTTCTCCCTGGGGACAGCAGTGCTGTGTGCCCACAGCCAGGAGGCCCCGTTGGATGGCACCCTGCCCCTACAGGACCAGCCCCGCTTCACTGCTGCAAGGCGGGTTGAGGGCCATGCGCACCCCAGAGTCTCAGCAAGATGTGTGTCCACAAGACTTACCCCACATGGGAGTGGACAGACACCCTCCTGGTCCTGCTCATCCCTCTCGGCTGCCTGGGTGCCAAGGTTAAGCTGGGAGCCCCCCAAGATCACAGAGTGAACAAATGCCTCACCACCGTCCAGCCTGCTGCGGCAGGGGCTCCTCGAGGGGCCTCCACACACCCTCGCCGCTTAACACGTGCTAAAGGTTCTGGACACATGGCCCTCGCCCGGCACTCATCCGGGCACACAGGTTCCCTGAGTCTGGCTCTGAAGGTCTATTCCCAACTCACCCCAGGGTAGACCCCCGCCCCTGCCAGCCCCTCCTGGGGACTCCCCCAGATTCTTTGTGACCAGCCCCTTCTCAGAGAACAAAGGCCACAACCTGGGGCTCTCAGGGGCTGGCGGGGGCCACCTCTCAGACAAGCCTGCAATGCCCCCCAATACCACACCTGAGCTCTGCAGCCAGGCCTGTCCAAAGCCCCTGTGCTCCCTGGCCAGCCTCTTCTCCACAGAGGGGCTGGTCTCAATGGGTGGGTGGGGCAATGAGCGGCCCTCCCTGAAGAGACCAGGTAGGAGGGGGCTCTGTGTGCTGGCAATGCCAGCTTCTGCAGAGCCACCCCAGGTGCCCGGGGTGGACTCAGGGAGAAGGACCAGGGCTGTGGCTCTCCCTCTCTCCCTCCCCCAAGACAACTGCAGACATGGACTCGTGGTGCCATACTCTTGAATGGACACACACTGGAGCGCACATGCACACACACACATGCATGCACACGCATACACCTCCCACACCCACCCTCGGCCTGACTGGCTCCCTGGCACCTGTCTCTTCAAACAGCTGCGCCCACTCCAAAGCCCTCCCTGCTGTCTGAGCGAGGGAGGAAGACACCCCAAAGCTTGGCCGGCAGGAACACTGCACCAGGGTGGGTGGTCACTCCTGCCTCCAGAAGGCTGTTGTTCCCCAGCTTAACACAGACACCCCCCCCCTCCCCAAGGCCAGCTCCCACAAGCACTCAGCCTCTCTTTCCTTGAGAAGGTAGGAAGGGTCACACCAGGGGTGGGGAGGTCCCAGTTTGGCGGAGCTCAAAGCACCCTCACCCACAAATCCAGTCCCCTTACTGCGCCCCCTATTCCCACCTCCCAACAGCCACCCAGGAGCTAACTTCCCAGGGAGAGGGCTCCCCTGTGCTCTGTGGGGCAGCGGCGAGACCCCCACAGCCCTGCCCTGGCTCTGCTCACCGCCGGGGGTCCCGGACCCAGGGCTGGCCGCCTCCCGCTGCCGCCTCTCGGATTACCGTGGCGGCCGGGCTGGGTTACCGCGGCTATTTCGGGCAAGCGAGCTGAGCAAGCGGCCCAGGCCGAGCGCCCCGGGCCCTGCCGAGCGCCCCACGTGCCCGGCCCGGCCGAGGGGGGCTCCCCGCGCCCCGCGCCCGCTCACCTGCCACGGGCGACGGCTTGCGCAGCACC